CGTGTGCTCTTCCGATCTTTTGACAAGTAATTTAAGATATCTTTGATTAAGGTTATAAACAAGAACAATATTTTTCTAGTAAGTAAAATGTCTTAAAATTATACTTTAATCATTAATTTTATCGTATTGTTAGTGAATTCTATAAAAAAATAGCATAATTATTTTCTTTTGAATTTGGAGTAGATTCGTACACAAGCATGAGGGCATCTTTCGTATATGTATATATTATTTTATTACTTAATTTAAATTATTCTGTTTAAAACGTTTGAATTTTGAACTCAACATTAATTTAAATACTGATTTAAAAAAGTTTATTTTATAAGTTAAGTTTATTTTATGCAGAAATTTATAAAATATGTTTAATTAGTTACTGACAAGATGTTTTCATTTAAATTTTAATTGTCAATAAATATTTAGCATAATAATTTTAATGTTTTACGTTTATATCCGAAACTATCCCATATGTACATAAGTGCCCTATTACATGTGCGAAACTACCCCGCTTGAGGGGTAGATTCGTACGACTTTCAAGTTTTGTAAAAATTATCTGCGTTTAGTTATATATTAATTTTTTATTTTAATTGCATGTTTTTATTATAGCTGGATATCTATTTATTAATACAAACTTAAGTAGTATAAAAGCATTTAACAGTTTGGGAAGCAAAACTTCCAAAAGTGTACGAAGGATCCCCATCTCTCCCTATAATTACATAACAAATTCTCTTCTCGCATAATCAGATCTCGTTAATCAGATATTATTTTATACATTCGTGATGTTTAAACGATATAATAATGTCTATGAAACAGTATTTTCTGAAAGATTAACATAAGTTCTTTGCATTTTACGATGTTCTCTAGATCTTATATTATATTGCTTGTTGTTTGCGAGAAACGCTGTTGCTATTGGAATATAAAACTTCACTCAGCACTTCGTTTCTCCCGTTTCTGGCTTACTTTTTCACGATTATTGCGTGCAACCTGTATCTATCGTGCACCAGAGTTTCATCCAAAATCGCGCGATTTACATATTTCAGGAGAATAAGTTGTGAACGCGTGCACACTAGCCGCACTTACAGTAATGCACGAGGAAGAATATTCTTCGATATTGAAGAAATAAAATCTCGGTAAGAAAAACTTTCGCCTCTTTCACCTTCCCTCTTCCTAAAAATATTCTCCCCTATTCACGGAAACACGAAACTTTTTTTATGGTCACCTACCATGGTTTAACGTTCTGCGCTACGTCATATGTGGCTATCTATTATTGTCTGAATTTTTAAAGAAAACAACTCACTGCGCGCTACACCATTGTTTCGTCCAAGAATTCGAGAGGTCGGACACCCGGAAACTTTTTTTTATCGACAATAGTGCATGTGGTCTGTACACGTTATCATCAAAATATTTAATAAGCCGTAGCTCGTGGGAGGGTGTTCTCCACTCGCACTCTCTTCCAAGCTCTCAGTTTGCGCAGATATATTAAATTGTGCACATCGTACAATCGATCCGGTGTTTTTCGTTACACAGTTTAACTTTCTCTTATTGTAATCGATATGTTAAAGGTGCAAAATAACAGGAAAAATAATAACTATGAAAATATGAAAGTAAAGAATACTGTTAGTCAAGTGACAGAAATTTGTTTGCGAATTTTTGGCATCTGGCCGAACACATCGTGCGTTTTGTTATGTAGACTCTTTTGGACTGTCTCGATCATGATCGAGCAAGTTTTTCAATATCGATATGTCGTAATGAATTTCCAATTGATTGAGTTTTCCGAGATGATGCACATTTTGGGTTCAACATTGACGTACACGATATTTTTAATTAAGCTTGTAATTTTTTGGTGTAAACAGCGGTGAGATAAACAGCGGTGAAGCACATAATCATACTATCAGTGAAAAATTTCTTTTAGATAATATTTAATTTAATTACATGTGGAATTACATTATATTCAGTTACATTAAGTTACACTAATTTAGTATTACATCTCGAGTCAACAATTATCGCTTTGGTCGGTAAAAGAAATTATTTGGTAATGTGAATTGCAAATGTGAACAGTGTAACAAAGTTAAAAGTTAACAAAGCTAAATTAAAGACCAATTGCTATAATAATTATTGTACGTAAAGAGGAAATAAGGACACGCGTTAAAATCATAGTCTGTATAAAGTCATTGCACAAATGATAAATTTTTCATTGATGGTTCGCATAACACTTTGTTGCGGCCGTTATCACTATTATGACTAATGAAAACCGTTCGTAGAACGTTCAACAGGATACTAACAATGATAGCGATCGACCGGGAAAAGTGGTCCAGCACGAAATTCAGTACGTTTGCGACGTGCAATGCTAAACTATCGCAGCGCTTCGCTAACATGACGGTGATTCTTTATTCGACAGCTGTAATTTTTTTTAGCAGCAAGATTTTCATAAAACAGGCGGATGACGGCAAAGCTTCCAACATTTCTGCACCATTGCTTATTCTAGAGATGGATCTGCCATTTGATGCTAATCAAAGATTCGTATATGAATCGGTCATAATTGCACAATTTGTTAATTTGCTGTTGTGTGCTGACGCAAACTGTTTATTAAATGCTCTACTTATAAATCTGGTGAGTCTTGCTTTGCAAAAAATATTATTATTTATTACTTGTATTTATGAAAATTAATGTCTTGATATTATATTAATTGATCAATTAATATCAATTGATTGACGAAATGTACGTGTACTTTATGTTGTCTACATTATCAAAAATAATTTATTGATAATTTTAGCTTATACAACTGCTTCTCGGATTTTAAAAAGGCTTTGAACAGCATAAATTTAATTTAGGCTTTAAAATGTCTTTTTACCTGCATTAAGGACAGGCAGTTAAAAGGAATATATATTTTAGATATTGCATATAGGCGGCCAAATCGATATTCTTCGTGAGAGTTTAATGGAAATTTTTCCGGAGAGAGGAAAGTGCAGTTCGGATCATTTTATGGTAAAAGAAATAATCCAGAAGCATCAGAAAATTATCGTCTTTTCAGAGCACATCGAAGATTTGTATTCGTATATCGCTTTAGTGATGTTCGTGACGGATACTCTGATTATCTGCTGCTTGGGTTTTACAATTGTCGCGGTAAGTAATTTTCGCGTGAAATCTCGTTGAATTTGCATAATAGAAAAGCACAAATTCGTACCTTTAATTATTCATCACTTTTCCATTGCCCTTAGAACATTTCTTAATATTCTAGTCTGTCGGTCAACCCGATGCTTTGAAAAGTATAACCAAGAACGTCTTATTTTACGTTGTCATAAATATGGAGGCGTTCGTATTTTGTTTCGCGGGAGAATATTTAATCGCTAAGGTTAGACATTGGTATATACTGTTCACAATTAATAAGCAGAATATTACGTAATTGCTTTTAAAAGCAACAAGATCCATTATTCAACAGA